GATAGATAGATAGATAGATAGATAGATAGATAGATAGATAGATTAGATAGATTAGATAGATCTGCTAGCAGAACACTTTTGCTTGAAAGGCATTTCCCACATATAAGATTTTATAGGTTGAGAAAGGAAAAAAAGAAGCCCTCCTGACCCCATTTAATCAGGAGTGATATGTGGGTGATCCGTTTGTTTACATTCAGATAGCGTACTATGCCATAAACTTTGGTTAATAAACCACACACTGTTGACTTAACATTGCACTCTAGGTCACTGAAGATGAAGCCAATATAAAAACGTCAACTCTTCTCGATAAAAGGCAGGACGGAGAGTTCCTGGCTTGTGGAACACTATAGTCTTTTACACTGCCTTTTAAGAAAAAAAAACACATAGAAATCAAATAAATGAAAGCAATATCATTCTCATCACGTTTGTCAGAGCATACAGCAATAAGACAGTGGCAGGATAAAGAAGAAAGTGCAATACAGCATGTAATTATGGATAGTGCCCAGTTCTCTGAAAGCAATTTCTGACCACCACATTCTGACCACACAGTAGGTTGATGCCCTCACAATAAGCCCTGGTCAATGAAGAGAACTATGTCAGAACTTAAATCAGAACCTGATCAGTTAACACCAAGGGCCAAGCCAAGACACATCCTTTTGTTGAACTGTTCATGAAAATAGGCAAGTAAAGTACTGCACAAATCCTGGTAATTTCTGCCAGTTGCAAGAAGTTCAAATGGAAATTTCTTCCGTTTTGGAATTGAGTGAAGAGCAGCTTTGCCACAGCTAAATATCTATTCTCAATACCCAATACTGTACCCAGAACTGAACTTTCTGTATTAAAATGGAACATTTCCTGAATACTGATCCTTTGGGCCTGGTAGTGCAAGCAATCTTGACTAAATGATATCTGGACAACATCAAGAGTTTATCAGCTGACATAACATTGAGGTTTGGTGCCAAAATGTAAGCTTGTAACCGCTGGAAGTACTGTTGGACTTTGGAAGTACTATTTGTCCTCAAAAAGGAAGTGGAGAGGGCCTTGTAACAAATTTGTTGCATAGATAGGCAGCTGCAGAGATTTTATTCTCTTGAATGGACAGGACATTTGTCTCTAGCCACGAGCATCTGTACTATTTTAATTTTTTTCCCCAGAATATGCTTAATTCCAGTTATTTGCAGTTTCCTTTCATGGCCTTGTCAGGGCTGTAAGGAAAACTCCCTTCAATTTCATTAGGTGGTAATTGCTACAAATTGAATTAGTTTAGGCAACAATTGCCTAACTTTCCTATCAGAAAAGTGGTATTGTCAAATAAAAGTATAACTACTCCCATTCAAGGAGAGAGAAAAGACAGTTTGATGTAGTGGTTAAGATACTGGCTTAGAAATTAGAAGACTGGGAATGCTAGGTATGAAAGCCGACTGGTTTACTGGGCCAGTCATTCTCAATCCAACCACTTCACAAGATTTTTATTATTTTTTTGCAGGGGAAATAGGAAGCAAGAGTATCAAGGATGTTTTCCATCTTAAATTATATTTTTTGATTATTTTTTTTATAAAAGGTGGAAAATTCCAGTTATTTTTGCACATGTAACTTAGTTTTACTAGCATTTAATTCTATTAATGACAAAAACTGGAAAAAAATATAGTAAGGCCACAGAAGAAAAACCAGCCAGCCCGAGTCATTAATCTGGACCAGGATTTTATCCATACACAATAATTATATCCAGAACAATTCTGTATCTTCATGAACAGCAAAAAGAGCTGTGTAGACTCGGATAAAAGCCTAAAATCTAAAATCCAGATATATACCTAAGGTAATCAGATGTCCCGATTTCTGTGGGACAGTCACGATTTATAACAGTTTGTCCCGTGTCTCGGGGCGTTTTAAAAAAGTCCCAATTTTCTGGCTTCATGTTGAAAGCCCAGTGGATTTGCTTAAGAAATCCTAACCGGGGCAAGACAAAAGACACTCTGTCTAACTACCTCTCTCTCTGTCTCAGTACTTTCATTGAAGATATTAAAACGTTAAAGTAAAAAAACGGACCCACCCAGCCCCGCCCTTTTAGCTCCTTTTATAAGAAAAAAATGACCCAGTTCTATAGAGCTCCAGGAAATACTTGACTAGAGAAGTCGTGAGTGTTCATTCCTGGATTTTCCAGAGGGGAGGGGCACGGAGGTTGGAGGTCGGCTCGTGTGGAAAAAATGGTGGCAAAGTTTCTTTGAAAAATATTTCCCTGACTAATTTCACCATTTTAATTTGCTCAGTTCTTTGTATTAACATCTACATCATTCTGGATTGACTTGGAGTGCTCACTTGTGCCTGCTGGGAAGTGAGCTGGGTTTTTTCTTTTATTTTTTTAATGTATTTTATAAAAATATTTTATTTATTGTGCATAGGAATTTTTGAAATAGTTTTATTCTGTGTGGATTCTTTTTTTAAATTGTCTTAGACTATTTAAAAAAAGATTCTATCCAAAATAAATTGAAATGAAACCATTTTTAAAAATTCTATGCACAATACTTTGAAATATATTGTGCATAGAATTTTTAAAAATAATTTTACTTCAATTCATTCTGTGTGGAATAGTTTGAAATGTTTTATTTCAATTTATTCTGTGTGGATTGTCTTAGACTATTTTAAAAAAGATTCTATCCCAAATTCAAAATACCAGCTGCAGTTATTCACTTAAGAACTGTGGCAAGAAAGGTGGTATAGTGACCAAAGTTACAATGGCATTGAAAAAAGTGACTGATGACCATTTTCACACTTAGTGACCATTTTCACACTTAGCTACCATTGCAGCATCCTCATGGTCACGTGATCAAAATTTTGATGTTTGGCAACAGTTACAATTTATATTTGTAAATTGTAGTTATGTTGAAATAAAAAAAATATTACAATACTAGTTTTGCATTGTATGAAAATTTTTGTTGCTCCGTATAAAATTTTTAATCAACCCCCCCCCCTCCCCGGTCAAAGGTGTCCCTCTTTACCAATCTGAAAATCTGGTCACCTTATATATACCTAAACGATGTAAGTTTGATTACTCTTCTCTTGAAATTGGATAAATCAGATGAATGCATCTCACAACAATAATCCAACTTTGTAATTCTACATATTATTGCAATACCTGCTAAACATTGAAGAATATTGTAGTTGTGGACCTGGGAAATGTATTCAGATCAGGATTTAAACCTAAAAATTAGGACTTTGGACACAATCTGGTAAAAGGACTTAAAGTACTATGTTTATTACCTTGATAGGTGATAGTACCTATCAGATCTTGACTGATTATAAAAAACTAAATCAAGTCACACCTACCAGTAGCTATTACTTGGAACTATGGAACATTAAGAAATTTCAGGGTTAGGCAATTTTAAAATTCTGGGAGCAAGCAGTGGCCAACTGCACTGTATTGTTCCAAAGAAACTCATGAGCAGTCAAAACTGATTGGAAAGAAATGTCCCCTTTGGGTTTCTGTAGGTCAATGGGGGAATATGAAGCAACATTTGCTGTTTCAAAAATTGTATAGAAAGAGCTAAGTATACATACATTCTCTTTCATGCACAAACACACTGCATTCTTGCAAGTGCAGATCTACAGTAATTCAGAAATTAGTTTGCGTCATATTTTAGTGCCTTTGCTTTTTTAGTACTCCTTTCCCAAGGGGTAATTATTATTATTTTTTCAAGCTCTACAAATAAAATGTTCTATTAAGTTTTTTGAGGTAATTTGGCCCCATGTTTCTCTCTGCCTCTGAGCATCTGATGTGTTTCTTTCCTTTATTGTTTATTTTGATAATCAGATCGCCTTCTGTCTATATATATACAGTACATTCAGTACTTGTATATGGGTAAACATACAAGTCCTTTTTCATAGAAGCCTAAAAATACACATTACTTATCCTGGGTACTGTAGACCTTTGCATGTTTGAGTTTTGTCCTCTGCAAAATTTCAACAGATAATTAAGGCATATCACTTGATTGATTCATATGCTGGAGCAGTAGCCTCAAGCAATTAATCCAATAATTAATAAACTCAAATTGAAAACCTTCCTACATCTTAAGAAAGTAGAGTTTCAATGTGGAGAGAGAAGTCTCTCTTTATATTTTCATGCTTTATTGGGCTGCCCTGGAGCCCTTAATGATCATTAGATTTTTTTAAATGATGTATCTAATTTTGCAAATGGAGTCACCAGATTAGAATTACTTTGAAAATTAAATACTTGCATCACACTAAAAGGTTATTTTTTTAATAACATGTATTGAAGCGGTTCCTTTCAAAGAACAAGGAACCTTTGGTTTATTCAACAAGCACTGGAAGTACTATAATGCTTTTGGCGCAGTCATCAGTGGAGATGCAGATAGTATAAGGTCATAGAACAATTGCAACTGATAGGCTTCTAATAGTGTTGCTTAGGAACATATTATCTATATTTTCTATGTGGAGTTTAGCTCCTGCTTCTGCACTTAGGGAGATCCTGTTTTGAACATTTATATAAGCGTCATCAGTGGGGCTGAAAATAATTGGAAGACAATATATTCTTGCTCTTGCTTGGATTTATAGTCTCACTCTGAAATATGACTATTTTGTAGAAGCCAGTAAACACATTGTTCAGTGTACTGCATCTTATCTTCCATTCCTAGTAATTTGTTTAGCTGGTTAATGGTTATTTTATTACTCTTCCCCAAAGACAAAGTCTGTTATTTCTGATGTTTTAAGTCCATTTTCTCTACCAGATGATGTTCATTTGTACCTATTCAAGGGTTCACTGTCTGTGCAAAATAGAAATATAATCTTCTATAAAGATTTATACATACTAGCATGTGCATAAAATAGTAAAATGAGAATTTCCTATCATTGGGTTTATTTTTAGCCCAACTCTTTGGGGTCTTATCTGTGTCTAGTGAGAACAAGCCAAAATCTTGGAACAGTTATTTTTTATAGTATATTAGCTGATAACCCAGCATTGTCCCAGTATTTATTCATAGGGGGGGAAATGTCCAGACCAAACGTAATTTCTAATGTTGGATTTTCCCCCTTACCAGAGGGAGCCCCCT